TCCAATCTTCTAGCTGCCCAGGCCAAAACCCTTAAAATTATCCTTGATCCCTGCTATTCAGGGCCCCCTATGCTAATCAGCACCTTTGTGTGAATTAGCAAAGGCAGCCCCATCAGTGCAAGCACAGCAACACAGCATGTGACTCAGCAAGTCAACTGAGGACATGTCAGGGCCATTGCAAGTGGAACACGTCCTGGATTTCAGCATCATCCGACCCCACCCCAGCAGCCAAAGGCTTTGAGGCCTACCACACATGCATTGGTGGCAGCCTCCCATGCTGTTCCAGTTAAAAGACAATCGTACTTCCTGTTGCTCGGTGCTTACTTCCTGACCATTTTCCAAGTCTGGTCCTGCCTCCTCCTGGCAGTTCCTGATGAACTTTCAATGAATTTTTTTGTTGCTTAAGAAAACCAGAAACTCCAACTGATACTATCTAGAAACTTGTACAAATCCCTCCCACCCATTTCTCCATCGTGCCCTGAAAGTGATTTGGAGAAGACCAACAGAAGACCACCAATGATCTCCTTGTCACCAAAACTGAAGACCAGGTGGGACAGCTCTGCTCTGACACTGATCTGGTCTCTTCCTCTCCCTTGTCATCCCAACCCCACCCCAGGGACCCATTCTCTTCTACTCTCCCTCCTCTGTGGGTCCCTCTTCCACTGTCTGGCCTATAAATGTTGCCAGTCCTCAGGGCTCCAGCCTCACCCTTCTCACCCTACAGGCTCACTGGGGCATCATTCACACTCACAATGTGCACCTCCACCTCTACCCCTAAGGTTCCCAGGTCTTCCCCTCTGCTGAGGTGCAAACCTTCCCATGCTGGAAGCCTCCACTTGCGAGTCCAAAAGCACCTAAACCCAGCACACCTACATGGAGCCAATCAACTTACCACCCACTTCCTGCCTCCCCCACTCACCCAAGCTAGAAACTCCAGTCACCACACAGCTCCCTTCCCCCCCTCACATCTAGTCCATCCCTCCCAGGCCACCAAGAAATCCTGGGACTTCTTCTCTTGAACCATCTCTCCAAGCCATCCTCTCCTCTCCAGCCCCACAGCCTCCTTAACTTCCTAGCCTTCTTGGATTATTCCAAATGGCTCCCTGTCCCTGGTCCCTCAGCTTCTTCCTCCACAACAGCAGAGCCAGAGTGAGCTTTCTGGAACTCAAACCTGGCCATACCACTCCCCACCAAGCACATTTCAGTGGTTTCCCCACCGATGAGAATAATCTTCCTTTCTCATGCTTAGCTGAACTTCTTGCATAGACACTGGCGTCCTACCCCAGGCCTTCTGAAACAACATCCGGGAGAAAAATCAGGATTCTTCTAATCATTGTCCTCGAGCATAACAAAACAAATTTGAGGAACTAATGTAGTGATTCTCAAACTGCTGTGAGAATCATTTCGAAGTTGGTTAAAAATAGACTCCCAGGGCCAGCCAAGTGGCACGTTGGTTAAGAGCTGGCTTGGGACACCAGAGGGCCCGAGTTCGGATCCCACATATGAGGGCCAGTGACACTGCCCTCTACAGCTAAGATGCTGAACAACAGCTCAACCTGGAGCTGGGCTGCCGTGAGTCGCCGGCTATGGTATAGGCTGCAGCCCTTGTGGCAGTGGGTTGCTATGGGCTACCATGTGTAGCCAGAAGCCAGCGTGATCGGCCCGCAGCCACCGTGAGCGGCCGTCCAGAAGCCAGAGACTGATCTGCCTCACCCAGGAAGAGCGCAATGATGATGCCAACTTGGGCCAGTGGAGCAATGTCTTCCACAACTAGACTGAAGAACAAAAGGACAGCGACTTGTCTGTTCCCCTTCCCCCGATTCCCCAGCGCTGTTCCCATCCCCCAATTCCCCAATAAAAATCTTCCAAAAAAAAATTGTCTTGGGATGACAGCTCTGAGCAGCAGGGCCCCGGTTCAGAGCCCACATGAGGGCCAGTGATGCTGCGCCCTCTATAGCTAAGATGGTGAACAGCAGCTCGACTTGGAGCTGGGTTGCCGTGAGTCGCCGGCAACGGCTTAAGCTGCAGTGGAGTTGGCCGGCAGCTGGTGTGCGCTTTCATGAGCTGCTGTGAACCACCGTGAGCAGCCATCCAATGGCCGGCAAGTGACTGCCTCACCCGGGAAGAGCACAATGGTAATACCAACATGGGCCAGTGAAGCCATGTCCTCCACAACTAGACTGAAGAACAAAAGAACAGCAACTTGTCTGTTCCCCTTCCCTGATTCCCCAACGCTATTCCCCTCCCCTAATTCCCCAATTTTTAAAAAAAAAAATTTTTTTTAAACTACACAGTAAATTGCAAAGAATGCAATAACAATGAGCTTCCTCTGTAGTGACACCATGACACAAATTGTGGGTCAGAGGGGAGGCCAGGAGGCAGAGGAAGAGAGAAAGAGGGAGGGCTGCAGCTGGGACCCTGGGGAAGAGCCTGAGGAGGGAAGAAGTGGGGAGCCTCAAGAAGAGGGGCCTGGATTAGACACAAGCCCGGACAGGGAGGGCTTTCAGGAGGGAGAAGGGAAATCCTAGGCAGAGAGGGACCGAAGTCCGGCTGGCTGGCTGACTGGCTGGCTTGTCCGGAATTGTGCTGGAACAGCTCAGGGGATATGCCGAGTGTGCACCTTCCCTCATGCCCTCAGGCACAGATGCAGAGCAATGCAAACCAAAGTGAGCAAACGAGGACTGGGCCTTAATTTGGGACATGTAGTCTCCTGATCTGTCCCTACACCAGAACACCCTTATAGGCCCAGGCCCACCCCAAGCCCCATCCCTCAGGAACCAATGTTCTTTTTCAAAAGAAATCTACAGGGGCCAAACTTAACTGCAAGGGCTGTGAGGCCAACCCAAGAATCATAATGGCACCAGAGGATCCAACAGCAAATCCTGTGGATCGACCTGCAAAAATGCAGGACCCAAACACTCGTTAGCACCCCTACTACCACTCTAGTAGGTCTTCTGAGGAGCAGCAGCAATGACTGTCCTAACCAGCCTCCCTGCCACTAGAACAGCCAGTGAGCCAGTTAAAACCCAAGTCGGACTGCAGCACTCCGCTCAAAACCCTCCACCTCCCATGCCATTCCCTCAACCCATGTGCGGGAAGATTTCATCTTAGCTGGGAGGCCAGCCTTTGCACTCAGCTACTGGGAGGTGATCTCCAGGCCCTTGGAATGTCTGGACTGGTAGGAGTGTCTTTGTCAGTACAGGGACTTCAGACATCAGTCTAACAATGTGATTTATGATGAGGGCTTTGGGACACGCTATCTCTAGAGGAACTGGAGAAAAGGTATTAGCCTGACATTCTGGGAGAGGCCAGCGACTTAAAGTTCAGCCACTTGGGCAGCCCCAAGAAACGCTGACACCAAAGGCTCAGGGGAGCTTCCCTGCTTGGCTGCAGTTACACACCAGGTCTCGTGTCCAGGACTCCAAGACTGGGAGAGGACCCTCAACCACGTTTCATGTTTGGATTCTGCCCTATGCATCTGTCCTTTGGTCGGTTCGTCCTAACTTGTATCCTTTTGCTGTAAAACTCTCATCTCAATGCTTTCCTGAACTCTGTGAGGTGTTCTAGCAACTATCCACTGAGGATAGTCATGGGGACCCTGAACTTGCAGCTGGCATCTTAAGTGAGGGCAGTCTTCAGGGGACCGCACCCTCTAACTGCAGTTTGCCAAACTCTGTACCCTTGTAAACTGTGACCACCTTACTATGACCTTCATCTCCACCCCTTGCCAACTAGACCTCACCCCCTGCCCTCTCCCCCCTCACCCTCCCCACCCTCACAAGTGTCAGGCATGCTCCCACCCCAAGGCACTGGAAAGCTTCTTCCAGAATATCAGCCAAGTTAACTCCCTCATCTCAGGCCTTTTATTCAAATGTCACCTCCTTGGTGAGGCCTCTGCTAGTTCCCACCGCAAGCTCCACCCCAAGACCTCTTCTCCTGCTTTACTTTTTCCTATTTGAACACTATCACCATATCCACCACACTCGAAAGTTTATTCATCTTATTTCTGTCTTCTCACTAGAATCTAACCTCCAAGGAGACAGGGGTTGTTGTTTTTTTTAAGATTTTTATTGGGGAATTGGGGGGATGGGAACAGTGCTGGGAAATTGGGGGAAGCGGAACAGCGCTGGGGAATTGGGGTAAGGGGAACAGACAAGTTGCTGTCGTTTTGTTCTTCAGTCTAGTTGTGGAGGACGTTGCTTCACTGGCCCAAGTTGGCACCATCATTGCGCTCTTCCCAGGTGAGGCAGATCAGTCGCCGCGGGCTTCTGGACGGCCACTCACTGCGGCTGCTGGCCGCTCACGCTGGCTGCTGGCTACACACGGTAGCCCATGGCAACTCACTGCCACAGGGGCTGCAGCCTATGCCATAGCCGGCGACTCACGGCAGCCCAGCTCCAGGTTGAGCTGTGTTCAGCATCTTAGCTGTGGAGAGCAGTGTCACTGGCCCTCATGTGGGATCCGAACTGGGGCCCTCTGGCGTCCCAAGCCAGCTCTTAACCATCGCGCCACTTGGCCGGCCCAAGACAGGGATTTTTTAACTTTGTTCCCTCTTGTAACCCCAGAACCCAGAACAATTCCTGGCACATGCTGAGTGCACAATAAATTCCTGTTGAATGAATAATCTCTAGTATCCTTCAGAAGTACGTCTTAGAAAACAGGCCACCCCACTCCCACTCTACCTCCCTGAAAGGCTAAGTCTGCAAAAACGAGATACTGACCACAACTGGCTGGAGACCACTGCCGAGGGAGGTAAGAGTCAGCAGCAAGACCCCAGACCTCCAAGAGAGCAGCAGCTCAGCTGGGGGAGGAGGCATTGGTGCTTGCCCCAGCCCAACCCCTTCATGCTGCTATGAGGTTGACAAGCCCCTTCCTCTCTGGGCTGGAGCAGATGTATGGACCTCTCGGGCCCTGATCACTGTGGGGCAGGTCCGGGTGCGGAGAGGGGAAGAGGGGGAGAGAAATTCTTGCCATGACAGAGGGGTGGAGGGAAGACAAGATCTCACCAGGTCAGGGTGACTTTTATTGGAAGCCAGAAAACACCCTATTTGGAGTTCATCTGTAATCTGTGACAGTACAAAAAAAAAAGAGGGCAGGGGAGGGGAGGGACACCAGAATGCGAAGAGCCTGAGGAGGGGCGGGGAAGGGTAGCGAGTGGGTCCCTGTCAGGGCACATAGGGGAAGCCGAGCAGCAGCCCCTCATGGGGCTCCAGTTTCAGGTTCTCCAGCTCCAGCGAGGCGCCCTCCTCACGGCCTGGCTGGGTGCTGAGCAGCATGTCAACCCTGGCTGGCAGGCTGGCGCTGGCAGGCAGGCTGGAGGCCCCCAACCTGGCAGGTTGGGCCACATCCCCAAAGTTGAGGACTACCAGGAAACGCTTGTTCTGGTCCCACTGGCGGACGTAGGAGAAGAGGCTGGGCCCTGAGGACAGTGCATGGAAGTCTCCGTGTAGCAGGGAACGCTCCTTGCCCCGATGGTCGCTCAGCCACCGGAACAGCGCAAGGAGGGAGCCAGGATCTTCACTCTGGCCCTGCAAATGATGAAGACATAGCCGGATGGGATGAGGAACAGCCCTGGGTGTAAACTGCAAGCCACCTGGCCACCCTCTGCTGGCCAGGCCCTGCCCATCTGAAATCCTTACCTTCACCGACATGTTGGAGCTTATAGATCCTGAGGTGCTGAGGGAGCTGGATTCATCCCACGGCATGTAAGGGGCCTTCACAGGCTGAAAGACAGGGAAAGCAGGACTTGGAAAAGGCCTTGGGCCCGCTGTCCCTCCTGTTCCCACCCCCGCTGACGCATATCCTCCCCCACTCATGCCTAACCTGCTGGACGAGCAAGGCCTTGACCTTGCACAGTCCCCTCAGCCTTCAGGGCTCTCCTCCCGAACAGCAACAAGCCAGTTCCCTCACCTCCCTCCAGTCTCGGCTCAGCTGTCTCGTCAAGTTTTCTGTGGTCATTCAATATAAAACATACCCCTCTCCCCCTATTCCAAGGCCCCTTGTCCTGCTTTCTTTTGCATAGCACTCATTGGCACCTGGTATCTTCATTACGCCTGCTGATTATCTAATTTCACCACCTCCAGTTCTTTAGTGCACTGCTGTACCTCCATGCATGGCACCTAGGAATTTCTCTATAAACCTCTCTGGAATGAATGAATGACTGGTTCTGTAAATAGCGGCTCAGATGTCAGCCTCCAAGCCTAAAGCTAAAACTGGCTTTAGCCTAAAGTGGCTAAAGCTAAGCAAGAGCCTTCACGGTCTTACCCCTACGACAGCATGCTGCTGTGTCCTCCCCTCTTACTCATCTGGCCCCCCCCCCACCAAAGTAAGAGTTCCTGGGGAGCACAGAATACCCACTGTCCAATGAAGGAATGAAGGAATGATGGCTACCATACTGAACACCTACCAGGTACCAGGCATTGCAACTCAAAGTAAGCCACCATTTAATCCTAACTACCCTATAAGAAATGCCAGAATTACAGAAGAGATGACCAGGACTCAGAGAAGTGACATACCACGTCAAGGCCACACAGCTACTGGCTAGGTGACTGCCCAGGGATCAAATGCAGTTCCACCCCAAGGCTCAGGTCTGTCTGTTGACATCCACGGAACCATCATGGAGGATCACAACCTGTCTCACTGTGCTGGGGAGGCAGCCCGCAGTACCTGTCCTGCAAGGGCAACTTCCTGCAGGCCAATCTCATCCCCATAGCTGAAAACCGGGGTCCCTGGCAGGGTGAAGAGCAACAGCTGGTAGAGTCGAAGGAGGTAAGCCGGCACCGAGGAAGTCAGGAGCCTCGCCTGAGACAACTGCAGGAATGGATGCACTGGTGAGCTGTCAAGCCCGCCGCCGACCCATCTCCCAACACCCCTTTCCTCCAAAACACCTCCTGCCCCCATTCCCACCACTGTGGTACTCACAGTCCAGCTGCACCAGCGACGCTCAGTGACGTTCAAATACTGTGTGACCAGGGATTTTACATCCTTCCCAGTGAAATTGGAGCCTGACAGGTATGAGCTGGTCACCAACAGGTCCTTAGCGAATTCGAATAGGCTCAGGATATCCTGAAGGTTGGAGGACTCGGTTCCTGCAATCAAGAGCCTACAGAGAGCAGAACACGTGTCAAGGGGGGTACAAGCCAAGAAAGAAAAAATGGAGGTGAAGAGGTTCTTTGGACTAAGAGCTCCCCGCTTCCCAGGGGGCCTAGCACTCCACTGAAGGGTTCCCACAATGGAGCAGCGTTGGGGTCAAGAGGTCTGGCACTCACTTATCTTTACTGAAGCTCTTGGTGATGTTCTGCCAGTCAGCCAAGAATGCAGAAGCTTTCTAGAAGACAAAAAGCAGAGTCAAGAGGCAGAAAACACTACCAGGCCCTGGTGAGTTTCTCCTCCAGGCTCTGCCTCTCACATGCAAAAGGACCTTACCGTCAGATTCTCCACATCCCGAACCTGGAACCCATCCACGCCGGCCTGCAGCCAAAAACTCAGAGCATTCTACAGAGAGCGGGGCACAAGAACAGAGGAAAGATATTAACACTCTGAATATTGCAGCCCACACTAAATCTTGCCTGCCATGCACTTCCCCATGACCTTGGGAGAGTCACTTGAATGAGAGAGCCTTGAGTGGTCTCACTTTCCACCTCTATTATAAAGGTTAGCCCTCGGCCCCCTCTCATTCTAACCTATCATTCATTTCTAGTGCTATAGCATTTCGCTTCTCTATTCCTCCCGGTGGCAAATCACACGGCTTCACCTTTGACAACCACAGATAAGGCCCAAGAGAAAGTGTTCATAAACATAACTTCATTTAAGACTTAACATGTGTGGAATGCTGGTATACCCATTTTAGAGATGAGGAAAGTCTCAAAGAAGCAAGAAGGCATGTCCAAGGCCACAGTCAGAGAACAGCAGAGACAGGATTCAAAATGCTAGTCAAGATCCCAATACTGGTATATTTACTCCTTTCCCAGTGTCTTGGCGCTGGGGGAGGGTGTGAGTAAAAAGCCAGTCAGAGCAGAGCCGAGGATGAAAACGAGATTTTCAAAGCATAGCTCCAGGGCAGTTTAGATGAAGATTCGAAACAGCCAGTTCTGCAGAACAGACCCAGGCCTGAAGCCCTGGTGTTCCTGGGGCACAGAACATGGAACCCTACTCCCACTGCCTCCATTTTCCCCTTTTTCTCTGTTTCATGTGCTCTCTCCTCTCGTCTCCATTTTCCTTTGAGGCTACCATTCCTCACGCCATTACCATCTGAAAACTTCATGTATCCGTAACTTTCAAAGGGTCTCCCAGCAATTTGCTAATTGATGAGCTAGAAGACCCCAAGGGTCCTCCAGAAATGCTGGGAGTGCGGACTTCTACTTCAGAATAGGGAATCAAGAGCCAGCAAAGTGTCAGGGTGTGCCTCCATTTTTGTTCTACCCGTGCCAAACTGGTCAGTGTCCCAAAAGCTGGGGAGAACATTCAAAGCCCCACTCCCGGCCTGCTGGGTATCAAGTTTGAGCCTATGTCTTCAGGGAAGGCGGATTAGAGAAATAAGACTACTTGGGACCTCAAATCCCAGACACACTGAGCCCTCTGAACCTAGCATCCTCATTTACAGATTGGGACAGTGGCAGGGACCTTGTGAGAGTATGCAGGGGATTCGAGAATGTATACAAAATACTTGGCAAAGTCCCAGACACATAGGAAGACCCCAGTGCTTACAATTTCAGACTGGGCTCCACTCCAAAATACATCAAACGAGAGCTGGGAAACCAGTCAGGACAGGATACCCACTGAGAAAGGGTTTCCTCTCCCACAAAGAAAAAAAATCAAACCCAGATTGACTTCTGAGAAGCTCCCTTCCTGGCACGCTCACCATCAGAGTCAAGGAAATAAGAAAAATGAGCGGTCATAAAAGGAACAAGCAAAAACAGGGGTGCACTGCTGGCCTATGTGGGCGGAGCGTGCCTGCTTGGCTCCAAGAAGCAATGGCCCCTCAGCTGAATCCGAGCTAGATTTACAACCCCAGTACACTCACCTTCATCTTGGTGGCCACAGTGTCAATCTGAGTGGGCTGGAACCATGAATTCTGGCCCCTGTAGTTGGGAGTGAGGTCCAGAATGACCCGGATGCCTAGAACAATGAAGAGGCAGTTGTGAGAAAGACTTTGGGGTGAAAAGAAAGGAGGAAATCAACAAATATAAGTCTATAAAGTGTATCCTTTGTACCACTTGGTACAAAAGCTTAGATTTGAACCCCGGCAAAACTCATTCTATTGAAACAGAGATATGAGCAAGGAGAGGCCTTAACATCTTAGGGCAGGAGGCCTGTAGTGTTGTAGAGAAGGCTGAGCTATGGGGCCCTGGGCTCCCCACCCCCAAAGTGAACTCTTTTAAAGTTAAGACAAAATTTTATGTGGTTTTTTTCTTTTTCCAAAAGGATCCACTCTTTTCAAATTTAAAAACCACTGATTAAGTAAAAGCCTACATTTTGTAAATAAGGACACTAAAACCCAGAAGTGAAATGATTGCACAGCCAAGTAGAAGGTCTCTAAACCACATGACAAACACATTTTAGGCTGAAGCCTGACAAACCTCCTTTGTACCTGCCCTAGGAACACTCTGGGTCCGTCAGAAGTACACCAGACAAAACCCCTATCCTGCCTTTCCTCTGGCCAGAAGGCCAAGCCCTTCCTAGCTGCTTCCTTGTCAACCTCAACCCCAGGACACCCACTCTTTTTCCTGGCCGATTGCAGGAGGCTGTCAAAATCTTCCTTGGAGCCCAGAGTGGGGTCGATCTGTTCCAAGTTGGTCCCACTGACGTCATCCTGCTGGTTCTCGTGAATTGGGCCCAGCACAAAGCCCTTCACCTTCAGGGTGCTCAGGTAATCGAGATGCCCCTTGAGGCCTGAAATGGGGAAGAGGGTTAAAGTGAGGCCAGTCTGAGGCCCCTGATGTCGCCTATTGTCTCCTCTCCCCGGGAATAAGTGTTGGGGGTAAGGCTGGATCACAAGACTCAAGAGTTTCTGATGTAAGGAGCCTAGCACATTGCTTCAGAAACCGGCTTGGACTGGCGCCAGGCGCCCCAGGGAGAAGGGAAAAGACTGAGTCAGCTACCCTCGTGAAGCGGTGGGGGGGATCCTTCAAAGAAAGGAAGGAGGCTCTACGTCCCAGGGAGCGGGCGCCGGTGCTGGGGGGCCGAGGAGGGAGACCGTCCGAGTCAATGTGGGGACGGGGTCAGAACCGGTGACCAGTTACACCAGGGAACACGGGGTGGGGGTGGGGTTACACCACGCTCACCAGCTAGGTTGCCCGCTTCGCTGCCCAGGAAGGCCTGAAGGTCGCCGATGCGATAGAGGGCGCCCTTGTGCCACCAGCTCTGCGCCGGCAGCTCCCGGCAGCGCGGCGCGCGCACGATTATGACCACGGCGCCCGCCAGCATGCCGAGCCAGCCGAGCCAGAAGAGCAGCAGCAGCGCCCAGCGGGTACGCACCCAGCCGGGGCTGCCCGCCACCTTCAGCAGCTCCTCCTTAGAGAGGCCCGTGAACTTGGCGGCTGCCTCCGCTTCGTCGTCGGCCACCTTGTTCTTCACCAGACCGTTCTTTTCGACGCCGCCTGCTATGACCGCGGCCACCGCCGCCCCAGACGCCGCGTTCATCGGCTGCTTCTCGGGTTCCAGCTCGTTCAGCTCTACGTCCTTCATGTCCACCTCGGTGTCCTGGCTCATGGTGCCTGCGGAACCAGCGACACGACGCAGTCTACGGTCAGGTGGTGGCTGGACAACTTTCCCGACCTCCGGCTTCGGAATGAGCTCCCTGCCTTGCGTCACTCTGGCAGCTCCGCGGCGGGGAGGAGCGACCTCGGGGAACCAGCGGGGAGCCCCGCCCCGGCCCGCCCCTTAAAGAGGAACGTCGGGGATTGCTCTTTTGGGACAGCTCGGGTGGGCCGCGGCCGGGGAGTAGTGTCTGGTACAGGCTTCCGACTGCTGTATGGTCTAATTCCTCAGCTCGAACCCGTCTACCACTAAGGTTCTTTAGAGCCCAACCCTAAGAAGGCTGAGCACCGAGCCACCTTTAGGTGGGCGGACTCTGTGATTTGTCCCGCCCCGGGTTCCCTCGGGTCCCTCCTGCCACCGGAAAGTGGGTGGAAAGGAGACTGCCAGCACCGCATGGGTCCTGAGGTTCCTCTTCGCCCACTCTGAAGGCTGGTGACTACCCCGGACAGCATACTCCCCTTGGCCCAGGACTCAGGCCACCGCCTGCCGGGTCTTCCCAACTTCACTAGGCCACTTGCTGCTCAGAGCCAGCCAAACTCAACTTCCGCCCTTTCCCCACCAAGCCTTGTCTTCTCAGGCCTCTGGGACTTGGCACGAGACCGCCGTTTCTCCGCAGGGCTTACTCCCACTGATCCCTCAAGACTCATCTTGAATTTAGTTCAGTTAATTCAGGCTGCAACTATTTACGGAACGCCCACTACAATACTTTGCTTGAACCTTATGGAATTAACCCTAATCCCGTCTTCCCAATGATGTTTTACGATGAATCTGTTTGGACAGGAGAGTTGCTGACACTGCGGTCTTACCCCACCCCACCCCCAGTTTCTGGCGCCAGGATGTCGGGCAGCTAGGAATTCCACAGCCCTGAGAGACTGATAGGCAACCTCTGGGCCCGAGCAAAAACATTCCTGGGCTTGGCCTCAGCTAGAGGCATCCACCTTTGTCCTACTACAGATCGGAGGATGCCATGGTCAGACTCTTCCTCACCTTGCAGGTGCTCCCACAGATTATCCCCACTTCCCCAGGCGGCCAGGGTTCCCTTTCCTTCCCATCACTATGCTAGGCCCGAGAGCCAGCTGGTACTGGCGAGGCCTTGAAGACCACCCAGCTTCCTCCCACAGAGATCCTTGAGTCTAGGGTAAGTGGGGCAGAGACAAGGTTCACAGCAGGGACTGCTGGGCATCAACACCATAAGGTGCCAAAACTCTCAGAAACTTCTTGTTCCTGAGCAGTGCCAGCTGGGTTATTTTCAGAGAGGAGCTGAAGGAAGTAAGTTCTTTCTCCCTCTCCCACCTGGGCTGGAAGCCAAGATGGCTGTGTATTTGGAAGAAAGCAGAAGGCAAGATCTGAAGAAACAGACAAGAATGGATTCCAAAAGAGAGTCAGGGGTGTGAATGGCTCATCTTCTGCCATCCCCTCCCTCATCTCAAAGCCCCCACCCCACCCCCACCCTTGGAAAGCCAATTCCTAGAGGAGGGCAATTAAGTGGGTAGAGGTTGGAGTTCAGACCAGTGCTCAATGATGATAAGAAGTCCAAGGTGCCCCAGGCATGCAGATAAGTGCCAACCAGGGGTTCTGCACAGACTTCGTCCCCAGCATGAAAGCTCAAGGTTGGGAGTTGTGGGGTCAGAAGCTCTCTTTGAGGTGGCCCAACATAACAGCCCCGGAGCACAGTATTACACTCAACAGCCTCCATGGCCCCACACAGATAAAGCCGATCCCTTCGGCATAGGATAAACAAGCTAACAACTTCCCTCCCAGTTTATCACCCACCACACCTGTCACAGAGACTACCCTCCAGCCACATCAGCCTTCAAACACCTGCCAAGCTCACAACACACTTGGCTTTGTCAGGCCTCTCCAACTTTGTTCGTGCCATTCCCTGTGTTTTGCCCTTCCTGTTCTGCCACTCTGCCTCATAAGCTCCGATTCACTCAAGACCTAGCTCAGATGACAGCTTTTCTCAACTCCCAGGAAAGAATTACTTTCCATCCACCTCTGCTACAATTCATGTCTTGTTTATTATGTTTCCTTGTTTGAGAGTCTTTGCACTTCAAGACATGCAACTGGGGCCTTGTGCTATTTGTCAAGGACCTGCCAGATCATGGGTAACACATAGTAGGCACTTCTTTGATAAATGAGTGGATGAACTATATCAATCAAACCCAAATATTTCCATTCTTAGCCACAATTCAATGACAAAAGTAGCATGTGAAGATAAAGGGATAAAAGTGAAAACGAATTTAAACAATACTGTACCTTACCAAGATGAAGCTGTTTGTGCAGGAAAACAAACCAAGGCTTATAACTATTCAACCCAAATAAAGCAAAGTACTAAATCTAGGGGAAGGGAAGGACAGAAAAGCAACTGTGGAGAAAGAGGACAGAAGGTGGCTAGAGAGCCTCAGATCCTATAATGTATGTTGATAAATACAAAACTTAATATTTACTACAGGAATGCAAAGTATATAATTTGTCAAGAAGAACTGAGCCTTCAAGAGAAGCTAAGACAAAGCAAAGAAAAAGAAAGGAGTTCAACAGTCTAGAGGCTAAGGACACATGAGGCCATAGTCCTCAGTACTTCCCACTCCGGCAGGCAGATGGCCACACAGAAACAGAGGGCCAAGTGTACAGAGAAAGTTCTTTCCAACCCACTATTGCGAAAATCCATGTCATGTGTTTCCCAACAGATAAGGATTACTTGATCTTGGCCAAAAGAAAAAGACGTTATTTTTTCCCACAATGTGTAAAAAAGGATTTCCAAAGACAGAGCGAAGATAGGAAGATAGTTAGAAACAGGAGATTGTCCAGCAGACCCAGCAATGCTGCCAAAGCCCAGGGCATTATTCCAAAAACCCAGGGGAAAAACAACAACAACAAACATCCAGGCTCTGCCCTCATAATACCCATCAGCCTTGAGCAGTTTAGCCCTTTGAAAAAGGATGATGGCTGACGTTAAGGAACTGAGCTTTTGGAAGTCAGAGTGCAGCTGAGATGAAAGCAGAGGAAGCTGATCCCAACCAAAGGGACTGACTTGGCAGCTGTTATTTGAAGAACTGATGTTGGAATAATATTATTTGTTATTACAAATACTGCAGAAGGGACACTGGCTGCTAAAGAACAGCGTTGTCTTAGGAAAGGGTGGGGAATTCGAGGGGGGATAAAAGCCAGAAAGAGGAAATGCAACTGAGGCCATCTCTTAAAAGGAGAAATAAATGCACCATTGGAAAAGTATCTGGTACTCAAATAAATTGGGCATAAGCATCCAAAATGGCTAAATGCTACCAGAGCTTTCCAACAATACAATCCTAAAGACACATAATGAGAAGTTGGGATCTTAGATTTCAATTCATGGTTTCTGAACATAAAGTTTCCCTTTATTCCCCAGCTGCAAGTAACTCAGTATTTTAATAGCCCCGCCCACATCTGCCCCTGTTCCAACCTATCCTCCTTTTCAGGTCAATTTATAGGTGGTTCTTAGGGCCTTCATATAGGGAAGCAGATGACTGGGTACATTTTAAAAATATTTTTTATATTCAATAAGGTGGAAAGGGGGTATAAAACATTGAGAAGACATTTAGACATGGAGTAATAGAAGCCTGAATTTGAAATAACCACTCACTCTGCAACTAAAGTGGTTAATTTCAACACCAACTCTAAAAAAAAAAAGGACTATAGAGAAATTAAAGACAAATTTTAAAAAAAAAGTGAAGTACATCACTAAGAAGGGAAACTCTTCTATTTCAAAATGAATTGAAACACTAAATGGAATGCTAGCTAGAATGGAACCAATCTGAGAACAAAACTTTTCCCTGAACCAGAACACATTACTAGGATAGGGACAAAAGGATTACAACTGTTACATGATTACTACAGCCCCACTTTCACAAGCTTTTTTTTTTTTTTTAACAATTGTAAGTCTATAGCACATATTCCTAGAGGTGCTACAATTCCAAGCTGTGATATTGTGATATAAGAAATAGATGCTCGGGCCAGCCAAGTGGCTCAGTTGGTTAAGAGCTCGCTCAAGAGTTTGAGCTCTGAGCAACAGTGGTTCGATTCCTGGCCCCAGCTGAGATGCCAACAGGTGGCAGGATGGCTCCGCTTAAAAAAAAAAAAAGAAATAGATGCTCCTCTGCTCCTCAACTTACAATGGTGTTACATCCCAAGAAATCCATCGTTAAGTTGAAAATATCGTAAATTGAAAATGCATTTAATACACCTAAGCTACCACACATCATAGTTTAGCCTAGCCCTTCTACTGAATTCTTATAGCTGTCACACCATTGTGAAGTGGAAAAATCCTAAGATGAACCACTGTAACTTGGGGAATGTCTGTATATACCTTTGATCTTCATCACTATTTCCTGGCACAAGAACTACTAAAAACCCTTGTAATTTCTAGAGCAATAGAGGTGATAAAAGCATCTTTTGTTCTAATATTTGGTCTTAGTCCCCGGTTCTCAGACACAAGAGCTTCTAAGACCCTTGGAATCTCTAGAGTAGTAAGAGTGTCATTTTTAATGTTAATAAGACAGGTGAGGGTGGGGAAAGCCTATATAGCCCAGGGTAGGGGCTGGTTGCCAGAGAAACAACTGGTGATTAGGTTAGAGCTTTCAGCCCCCAACCCCTAGGCCTCGTAGAGGGGAGAGGGGCTGGAGATTGAGTTAATCACCAATGGCCATGGGTGGTGCCTGTGTAATGGCGCCTCCATAAAAGCCCTAAACAACAAGGTTGGGACAGCTTCCAGGTTAGTTAACACACATCTGTGGCAGGATGATAACACACCCCAAGTCCATGGTCAGAAACTCCTTTGTTTTGAACGCTTTCAGACCTGGTCCTATGTAACTCTTCATCTGGCTGTTCATTTTTATCCTTTATATCACTCTTGGAGGTCCTGTAGTATCAGGTTGGTTTGTGGAATGGATGGAGCAAGTGTCTACTTAATCTCCCTGTG